CCTTTGTTGATTTTTTTTGTTCGGTCTCACTTTTCTATCTTTTGAGAGCAAGATTAATTGTATTCAAGAAATAGACAATTTTCCCTCCAACAATTTTTTTGTTGGAAATTGGCCTTGATTTATTATGAAACCTCAATTTTTCCTTTTGGTTTAATGGTAAATCGTGTGCCTTAGGATCACAAGGTCAAGGGTGCGAGTGCCGCTTGGACGTTTTTTACTCCGACCATTTGAAAAATGTGGAGGAACTTAGTATTAGGATATGTTTTCGTTTTTTTTTATGAATAATGAACAAATTGAGCACTATTATATAGGTCTTGCTGATTTTTTTTTTGTTTTTTTTTCAGGAAAAAGTGTTAAAATTTGTTCACGCTCTGTTTCGATTTTTCGCGGTTTGACTTGTAGTTTCTTTTCAAGTTCAGTGCATTTCCATAAAAGGAAAGCAAACTCCACGATCCAAAAGCAAAAGTGTAAAGGTCACGAAAAACGTGATCGACATCTAATTTCGAAAATGGAAATTAATTATCAAATTTCCCAGCGAAATAAAAGTTTTGCTTATTCATCCAGTTTTCTCACATTGGGTTAATTTTAACAAAAAAAGTGTCCATCATAAATTGTTCTACAAATTCAAACAGCTTAGGGCCATCTATTTCTTCAAAATTCAAAAGTCTCCTTGCGTTCATTTCTCTTTTTCAACTGTCAGTTGGCTATGTTTTTGTTTTCCGCGCAAAATCAGGTCCTACAACTTATCATCGGAATGGGTCGAGTGATATATTGTCTTAAAGCTCTTTCAGTGTGGAGGAAAACCAGTTTGAACTTTTTAGTCTAAGTTAATAAGGTAGGCTAAACATGCTTACAAAAGCTTTCTGCACAGATTTTTTTAAAACATTTTTTACCCCTTTTTATTCATTTTTTTATAAAGATTGCTTTCCAATTGGCCTATTTTACTGTGAATGTCCGAATATATCTTAATTATATTTTTTCGTTCAAATCTTTTTATCACACCACGCAGAAAAAAACGACACTAATTTGAGAAAAAACTTTTTATAATAATATGGTCAGAACATATTCTGCGGTACTTGCACAGTAACCGGCTATCCTTGTTTCGATATGTATACAAATTGATCAAGTTTTGAAGGAAATTTGTCGGAGGATTGTTTGTCGGCTTATTTTTTATTCTGTATTTCATTGGTTTTGGTATTGAAATGGTTTTGGCCTATATTACATTGGTGTAATCGTTTTTCATTTGTCACTAAAGGTAATTTTATGTTTAAGCTTTTGTATGTTTCAGGCAAGGTGGTCGTATAATCTTCAATTGACAAAAAACTGAATTGCACGAAATTGTTTATGACAGTTTTTTTTTCGTATCAACGGGCTTCTCTAGGATTGTCGATTAAGTTGCCGCTCTGGAAGTTATTCTGAAAACTTATTATGAATAGTGATTGTGTTTTTCGACTGAACAGTAGTCCAGAGAAACGTATGAAGTTTTTGTTGATAGATTTTTCGTTTTTTTTTTTCAAATAGATTTTTCGACTTAGCGGCTTCCGCCTCGTTTTCATTTCGCTTTCTTGCAAGGCTGCTAGCATCAATTTTTCTGCTAAGTTTCTGCTTACATTAATACTACTAATTCAACGGTCTGCTGTCTGCGCGTTTAGTTTTTTTTCTTAGCAACTGATTAAGATATAGGGTTTAAAATTGCTGGATTGAAAACTCGACGAATTCTGTTTCTGAGGCGTTAATTGGCTGTCAATTCATTTTCAGATGGTTATCTGCAAATATCCCTGAGAGCAACAGAAAGCACTGGAGTTTATGGACTCAAATTTGTTTTTTTTTGGGAAGCTGATGTACTTGAAATTTCGGCTAATTATTTCTTAGTATTTCTGCAGTGACAAGGGAATTTTAGTCGAAAGTTAGATAAGAGTATCCCGGCTCATGGATAAAGTTACAATCAACAGTTATTGTGCTGGCTTTATTTTTTTCAGTGGTCTAGTAATGTGACCAGGACAAAACGTCTGAATCGTGCAATGCAGTCAGTCGTCTTCGTTTTTTGACGCCAGACCTCAAACGTTTAAAGTTCTATCAGCTATTGTTTTCTCGGTGCAAGTCGAGCGTCGTTTTAATTTCTAGTACCTGTTGTTTTCACGGTGAGCAAGTCATTAGTTGTTTACGAGGATGTGTGCACAAGAACACCTCTGGGACTACTTATGATTGACTGGTCAATTAACGCCTCCAAAACTAAACTCTTCTAGTTCCTTTATCTAGATCCTTTCGTATGCGTCAGCCATGGTTGTGCTAGCAAGTGTAATGTAATAGTAAGACTATTCGTGTTTTTTAACTTAAGTCGAAAAAATTGGTGCAATTTTTGGGACAACTTGTAATTTGGCAGCATGTGCTTTGACATTCGATAAGTAAAAAGTTAACACAGTTGATGCATTTTTCGCTCATCAATTGAACCGAAAAAAGCTATCTTATATATTAAATGAAAGTTGGATGCGCTATGGACGCCATGTTTAAGCGAGTTTTATAGGGGACAATGGTTAACAAGAGGCGTCAAGTTTAGACAGATAGTCTTGAAGTTTTGAGAAACGTTTTCAATTTCCAGATTTGAATGACAAACGCCAAAGTTTGAAATTTGAATGTTATCAAAAAAGCGCCACTCATAAATCGTTCTAAAAATTCAAAGAGCTCAACGGGCTTCAATTCAATGAGCTTAACGTATTTTTTTTATGTTTACTTGCTTTCATTACTTTTTCCAATCTCCGATTGGCTATGTTTACGATTTTTTGATTTTTGTTTTTCAAATTTAGATTTAGAAATTTTCACAAAGTTTGAAATTGGCTATTGTGGGAGGCTGGCGGCTGTCTGGGTACATTCAGGGTTTGCAAATATTGTCTCTAAAAATGACTGCTTCAATCTTTTTAGCTTCCGAGATGACGTTTTTTTAAATATTTTTTGAATGTTAATAAAAAGTTAAAATTTGAAAATTACACAAAGTTTGAAGTAGGCAACCCAAGGTTTGCAAAATTGGCCCCAAATATGACTCTGCAAAAAATTATAGCTTTTGATTTATGAGTTTTTCGTAATTTTTGAATTCTTTTTCAAAAAGTTTAGATTTGAAGTTAGGTTCGTGTTTTTTAACTTAAGTCGAAAAAATTGGTGCAATTTTTGGGACAACTTGTAATTTGGCAGCATGTGCTTTGACATTCGATAAGTAAAAAGTTAACACAGTTGATGCATTTTTCGCTCATCAATTGAACCGAAAAAAGCTATCTTATATATTAAATGAAAGTTGGATGCGCTATGGACGCCATGTTTAAGCGAGTTTTATAGGGGACAATGGTTAACAAGAGGCGTCAAGTTTAGACAGATAGTCTTGAAGTTTTGAGAAACGTTTTCAATTTCCAGATTTGAATGACAAACGCCAAAGTTTGAAATTTGAATGTTATCAAAAAAGCGCCACTCATAAATCGTTCTAAAAATTCAAAGAGCTCAACGGGCTTCAATTCAATGAGCTTAACGTATTTTTTTTATGTTTACTTGCTTTCATTACTTTTTCCAATCTCCGATTGGCTATGTTTACGATTTTTTGATTTTTGTTTTTCAAATTTAGATTTAGAAATTTTCACAAAGTTTGAAATTGGCTATTGTGGGAGGCTGGCGGCTGTCTGGGTACATTCAGGGTTTGCAAATATTGTCTCTAAAAATGACTGCTTCAATCTTTTTAGCTTCCGAGATGACGTTTTTTTAAATATTTTTTGAATGTTAATAAAAAGTTAAAATTTGAAAATTACACAAAGTTTGAAGTAGGCAACCCAAGGTTTGCAAAATTGGCCCCAAATATGACTCTGCAAAAAATTATAGCTTTTGATTTATGAGTTTTTCGTAATTTTTGAATTCTTTTTCAAAAAGTTTAGATTTGAAGTTAGCTAACCTATGGTGGCGTACTGTCAAAGGTTTTTCAAAGGTTGTGATTTTGGCCTCGAAATATGAATAACCAAAGAATTTTTGATTACGTGATATGATATTTTTTTGTTATTCTGTCATAAATTCCAAACAACATAGATTTTATAAACTTACCAAAATTTGACACTCCCAACTGTAAATGATCTCCAAAATCTCAAATATTGCAAATTTTAAATAAAATTTAACATTTCCAGCATTTAAGTGGGTTGCTGTCAATGTACTCTCATATGTTGCAAATTTTTCCTTCAAGTATGGCTGAAAACATTTGATTTTCCGAGTTATAACAAGATTTTAAAGATTTTTGACTCGAAGAATTGAAATTTTCACAACGTAGATTCCTAAAACTACAAAAAGTTGAAATTCCCAACTTTATGGTAAGTTTTCTTAGGGATAGTATAAACTCAACGCCAATTGCTATATGAAATTTTGCCCCGAATAATGTTAAGTTCTTAAATCTGCTTGAATTTCTTAATTAGATAAACTAACCTTTTGCCAATGTTTCTGGGGTAGAAAAAATTGAAAATTTTCATAGTTGTAATGGCTTGCTGAGAAAGGCTTGACTTTTTCGAAGCGATTCAAGGTATGAAATAGCTTTATTGTTTCCATGTTCTATAGCTTCAATGACTTGCTTAGAAAAGTTTTGAGAACAGGTTCAGGTACTTTCTTTTTCCTGGGACCTAACTATCTTACTTGTACCCCGGTTCAAGCTGAAAAGAAGTTTGAGATATTTAACAGATTCATTTTTTTTCAAGCCGGTTGATTTTTGAAGACGTGCTTGCTAGTTTGTTTCAAACAACAGTGCAATAACAAAAATTTCATTTCAGAAATTTTCCTACTCAATATATCTGACTTTTTTTGAAACGCGTAATTAAGTCATAATTTGGTTCGACGTTTTCCAATTTGTTACATGCAAAGTTTGTGTAACCGCCTTTACTTTAGTGTATTCCTAATTATTGTATGCAAAAAAAGTATTTCAATGTGAAATTTATGAATACGTCCAAAAGTTATGAACACGAAATGATACAATAGATTGAGCTAACCTAATGATTATGATGAACACTAGGAAAAACATGGAGCACCCGAACAGTGCGCCTAGAATAGCACTGGACCAGGTCAACTTGGTCGGATGCGAAACAAAGTCGCCCAGTTCCTCCGGCTCTTCTGGCTTATTGTCCTGGGCAAACGTATCTTGTCTGACTGTTCGCTTTTTAATCGCCGCTGGGTTGTCATCTCGATTTTGAGTCCAAATTTTGTCATCGTTCAGATCAGACAGTTTTCTGTCTTTTTCGTTGTTTTGTTTTTCGTTGAAAAAGGACGTTGAAACTTGAATTCCGTTTGAATTATAAATAGCTGATGCATTTGATCGATTTTTAATGCCGCCCATCAAAGGAGTTGAAGAAAGTGTTTGAAGCAAAAAGAGCGTGATTAAAAATCTCCTTGTTGTGAATGAGATATGTTCAGTTGCGAATGTTTTCGTCCCATGCTTTGGGTGTGCATTGCGCGGGTTGCTCATTCAGTTATAATTATGACTCTGCTAATCAGTTTAATAACAGTCATCAGTCAGGTGATTTTAAACTGTTGTAGAGCGTGAAACTTGATTGAAATTGCAATGAGGCAAATCGAACTTTTGCAAAAAGGCTGCAGCTGAAGGCGCCTTTAATTGGGAGTAATGAAAAGTTCTAAACAATGTTGACTGCGTTTTCAAAGTTTTCTAATTTAAATGCCAATTTGCATAATTGGAAGTAAGTTTGTTTGTTTTAGATTCAATTAGCGGAGGAAGCTCAAAGCTCTGTCAGCCAAAGCGCACAGGTAATTCAATTCATTTGATAGCCACAATTTTGGGAAGATCTAAACAAAAATATATTACAAATTCATGGCAAATGTCTTTCAAAATAGCAAAATATGGTAATGTAAATGGGTGAAAGATTGCTAAGAGATGTGAAAATTTCCGGTATCATCAATCATTTTGACGGAATTTAGATTCGAATGCAATAGCAGCTAGTATCGCAGTTTTGAATATCAATGAGTTGTTTGCCAGAAAACTGTTTTCTGAAGTGTAGCTAGGAAAAGGTGATAGCTGAATGTGTGATTGTTATTTGGACCATTGTCGGCCAATTTGAATCGAAGTTGTCGTCATTCTAGGGGACATTACAGGGCGCGATATGTATAGATATCAGTTAGTTATCCTGTAAAGTGAGTTACATTTGAAATAAAAGGAAATAGTACAAAATTCGAGACTCAAGTATAAAATGTTAGATTGAGTGCCAAAATTTCGCCCGCTTCGCTGGTCGTGCTCTTCTTCGCCCGCAATATGTTAGTTTGTTCAGCTTTGACCTGGGGGCTAGTTTTGGAAATATAAATTGTATATATTGAAGGAATTCGAATTTGTGCTAGTCAAGGTTATTTTCTTTGCGGGCTAGGAAAGTTGCTTGTAGCTCTCGCAAGTTCGACAAGAATGTCAAAATTCTAACTTGTAAAATGCAAAATTCGCAGAGGAGACACAACCATCTAAGCAGAAAGGAAATTGTTTCAAGGGGTGGGTTGGATTATTTGTGTGTACGCGGTCTCACTCTGTCATATTTAGTACTTAGTTAAAATAAACACGGTCTATTCAACTGTCTCTTGATATAATTGCAGCTGGGGGCAACCAGATATGAGTTATAACACCTAACCTAAAAACTGACAATTCGAGTTGCCTTCATTAAACAGAATGAAAAAAAAGCGAAGTTTGCTGTTTTTTTGGTCGTAGTTTTTTTTAAGATAATTGATTGGTTGGAGTGAGATTTGTTCAAGAAGTTTGCGAATCATACAAAAAATGCGGTATTTTTCCATTGATTTTTTCGACTTTTTGTTACCTCTAGTTTCTGAACCGACAGCAATTGTTCGATTTTTTAATGTATTTGGTCTCCTGTAGTGAATGTATACTTAAACTTGCCGTTTCAGACATTCAAAATCCTCTCCCTCGAACTTTTCGTTCGCTTCAAAACCCTCTTGGTATAACTTACTTGATTATTGTAATCAGGAATGACCCAACTAGTAAAGTATCAACAATTCGAAGACAAAAAGCCATTAAACAGAAAGATTGCATACTTCACCGTGTAGTTTCAAGCTTAAAGTACGCTCGGTTATTTCGAAATGAAATTGCCAATGTTTGATAACGGCTCTTTAAAATTGATTAAGGTCACTGGACAAGTTCAAAATATTTCAAAAGTTTCAGAATCCGCGGAGACAAAAATTTTCACTTAGTTTTGCTTATCACGAAATCTGCAATTAAAAAGAATCATGTGTTAATGAAATTAGCAAAGTTGGTCGTGTGGTATGTTTTTTTTTCCAGGAAAAAAATGTTAAATTTGTTTCCACTCATGTTGTAATACGATTTTTGGTTTACTTTGAAGCTCGATTGTCAAATTTGTCTTCCAAGTGGCGCTCAAATTACGCTAGCTGAGAAAAATATGGAAGTTAATTTAAAAATAGAGATGTATTTCCGTTTCAAAGGTAGGTTTATTGATTAATGATGATATATAATTGTACTTTTTAAGTCATGTAATTTTTTTCCATGAATTCACATTGAAAATTAGCGATGGAAGAACAGTGATCACAATCGATGATTTAGCGCTAAATACTTACCCAAATAGCAAGATTGGCTGGTTTGAAAAAAAGATTATCAGAGAATTTTCTTTAAATCAAAATTGCTTCCTGGCGTAATTTGTTTAAATTAAAGAGTCCATGATTTTTTTTCCATGAATTCACATTGAAAATTAGCGATGGAGAAACAGTGATCACAATCGATGATTTAGCGCTAAATACTCTCTAAGTAGCAAGATTGGCTGGTTTGAAAAAAATATTATCAGAGAAGTTTCTGTAAATCAAAATTACTTCCTGGCGTAATTTGTTCAAATTGAGTCCATGATTTTTTTCCACGAATTCACATTGAAAATTAGCGATGGAAGAACAGTGATCACCATCGATGATTTAGCGCTAAATACTTACCCAAGTAGCAAATTTCAGCTCAAAAATTGGTAGTGAAAACCGAAGAGCCTAAAGGGCAAATATTTTTTCTTTGAAATTCGTAAGTTGAAGTTTTCAAAAATAAAAGTTTTGTTTTCTTTCCTTGCGTTCCTTGTCTTGTGTTCATCCAATTTACTGTTGGCTATATTTCCAAAATTTAACTAAAGCAGTCATTTTGGGCTCGATTTCATGTAAATTTTTACAGTTCTTTGTGCGTTCGTTTGTAGATTTTATGCGTGATTTCATAGTTCTTCCGCTATGTTCAAAGTGCCCGGTAGAATAAACAAGCTTAAAGTAAACTTGTTTATCAAATATCGCAGTCTTCTGAATTGTACAAGGTACCCGCAAGGAGATATATTTTCAAGCAGATTTTTTCTAAATGATTCTAAGCGTCACAGATTGGAGTCCATTAACGCATGATCCTGTTTATGGATACATAAAGCAAAAAAATTAACACTGATAGCCGGTTGCCGTGCAAGAAGCGCAAAATAATGCGACTGCGTTCAAAAAAACTACAAACAGTCGTTTACGGCTAAGAAATTCAATGAATTGAGACATAATCGACAAAACTTGTCTTAAACAAATGAACGACCAACAAAAAAAAACTAAAATTTTTTCAATAAGTATTTTTACCTTTATTTTTGCTCAATATCTCAATTTTTTTTCATTTTGGCAAAGACACGTTAAGGGGAGCTTCGAAAACCAGTTTTCCTTTTGATAAATTCAACTTTTTCTTAGTCTAAGTTACCTACATTTTCGAAAAAAAAGTTACTCGCTCGCTCTACTCATTCGAAAAAAAATGGGAACTCAAAAAATTTTGAGCCGGTTTTTCTCGACATTGGGACGTTTGCGGTACCTGATTTTGCGTGGAGAAAAACACTTAATCACACACGGCAAAATTCCTTCCCATTTTTCAATGGTCGGAACAATGAGCCGTTCTTCACATGGCAATTATATTCTCTAGGCCATTTTCTCTGGAAATTCTTCGCCTTGAATTTTTTAACATATTATTTAGGTCAAGAGGTGCGTTGTCGATTGTTATCTGGCATTTAAAATACGGATAACATAATTCAAATTTTTTTGTGGGTAATTTCACTTGTTTTGAATTAACCACCAAAGAACATTCAGTAAACAGTCTTTTTCTCTGCCGTGCTTTACAGAAATGGGCCCTACAATATTTCCGGGCGCTACAAAAATGTATTAAGTTTCCCATTTTTTTTATTAAGAGTCGATGAACGTAGTTCAATCTCTTATGTGGGTCACGATTATTTTTTTCTGAAAAAGTCTTAAACTTTGTCTCATTTTTTCGCAGTTTGATTTCTTTTCAAGTTCTGTTTATTTTTGTTAAAAGGAAGGCAAGCTCCACTATCGTACTCCAAAAATGAAAAATCAAGAAAAATGTGATCGAATTCTTGTTTCGAAAGTGGAATTCAATTTTCGGATTTCCCAGCGAAATAAAATTTTAACTTATTTATCCAGATTTCTCAAATTGGCTTAATTTTATCAAAAAAGGGCTATTCATTCATTTTCCAGAAAAGCTAAGACCTAAAGGATATCTACTTTTTTCTTTAAATTTCGAAAGTGAGATTTTTCAAAAAACAACTCAATATTTTTTCTCTTATTGTTACATCAAAGTTAAATTTCGAAAGTGAGATTTTGCAAAAAACAACTCAATATTTTTTCTCTTATTGTTACATCGGCGTGATATCAAAGTTACGATCAAACTTCAAAATTACTGCGTCGAAATTTTGTGGTTCTTGGAATGAGGGAAGCTCAATTTCACTTCTATTGATTGTGGTTTGCTGTTTAAGGGGAAAAAAATCTTTAACTCTGTCGTCATCGTCTTTTTACCTTGTTGGGATGACTGTTGATTTCATTTGAGCTGGCGTCCTAAACTTGTTTATCAAATGGTGGAAAAACAACAAAACTGGAAACACCTGCAGAAAATGAGTTTCATGTTTAATTTCGAACATGAATGTCAATTTTCAGAATTACTCTGATTGATTTGGTTTTTTGAAACTGTTAATTAAGAAGAGCGAAATGATTTTCTTTATACATCAAGCATCAATTATACATCACCACATCAAACATATGTATAAATTTATGAAAGCCCTTAGGTATATATGCTTTTTTAGTTTACTTCACATTAAGCGGATATTTAATCCGTCTTAGAAATTGTTCCAAATTGGTTCAAAGAAGCTGATTTGCCATAATTGATTTGTTACAAGGAGCGAAATCTATCAATTTGTACTTTATATGGCGTGTGGGGGAATGATTTTCAAAAAAATTTCAAATTTTAGAAAAAATGTTTTTTATATATATATATATTTTTTCAAGTTATTACTGCTCCATAAACCTTAAAAGGCAGTCGGAACATTCAGGGCTTCGCCCTGATACGAGCAATCTTTTCATCTTGGCCTTGAATTTTGATTGTTTCGTGTTAAGGCATACTTTTCATTGCTCAGTTTTGAATGGCTTTGTTCTAACTACCCGTAGGGCCCGTACAAGGCTTGACTTCAGAATTTAAGAGCCAAGCAGCTATAAACCACCATTCAGCCGCCAATTTAAATCCTACTAACCTAAGTCTAGGTTACAGGCACTTGGCAGACTTTAATTTTGAAAGATTGATGGCGTACTATATAATATGAATTGGAGAGGCGAATAAGTTGAAAGGATTGTTTTGATTTAATAACCGAACCGAATTAAATGTTATAAAACTAGGAGCTTAAGGGTTTTACACGGTTGTGTTATATTACCAAAACTGTGATTTGCAACTCCTTTGAATAAAGAACATTTCACAGCCCATTAAAATTAATAGCCAGTCGTTAAACTCCTCGCTCGCGCGAGTTTTGCCAACTTCTGTCGCAATATCTGTTGCGGGCTAGTTTTAATAACAAAGACCCCTTGTATTTCAATTCGCGAGCAGATGTTTTATTATTGAAGAAAAAGTTAATAAACTGAGGTGCGATCGATACATGTTTAAGCTCAGTTGGTAAACCGGTTATGCAAAATGATTGAAATGTAAAAGCAAGAAGCAGAAAACTACCTGCTTGACGTTATTCCAACAAATCGATTTATGCCATGAATCGATTTAGTCATGAAATTAAAAGCTGCTCAACGTTTTTGCAAAGAGCTGAAAATCTTTATTTTGGACTTTTTTCTCATAACTCAGCCCCCTCTGAAGTAAGTCATGTTTTTACCGTAAAAATATGTGAATATAGTTGCTGTCATTGGGGATGGTGGTATTTTTTTATTATTATTGGTGGCTTACTGAGTATTCGGTTGTTAAATTCTATTTACCACACAAATCTGGTCTGTCTGTTTGATCAAAAACTACCTGGAAATATGTTTATTATGATTTACTTTCTGACTTCGTCGTCCGCGCTAATCTGTCCTGGTCGGGTAAACATCAAACAAAAAGCTGTGTCGTATTCATTTTCATAAACCCATAAACCAGTCTCGTAGACCACTGCTGAATACTCATTTGAACGAAAGTTTTTTTGGCATAATCCGATTTGACGAATGTCTTAAAAATCCAAGTTTGTGGGGAAAATGGGTAAAGCAAGGTGTCGCTTCTGTTATATCAAATGGGAGCTATCATGGAAGTCTTAAGCTTGATGCTTTTTCGAGATTTAGCTATGGTGTTTTCATTTGTTTCCCATATCAGAAACCTTTTTCTGATAGCTGAAGCATGTGGAATCAACAGCAGTTCAGAATTGATTTGGAATTGAAATTAGAAACCTTAATATGGTTGGTTGGCAACAATCTCGACTTTATTGAAGGCTTGTCCCCGAGACATTAAATGTTAGGTGGGCGAATTAACTGATTCAAATGTTTCATGGAACTAGGATTGTAGGCTGTGTAATGCTAGCAGGGATTTACACTAGATATTCCATAAGGATTAGTTCTATGTAAACAAGATTTGACGTTTTTCCTGAAGTTTTGGTGGGTCGAAAAGTTCTGTGGATTATTTCACACTTCGTTGTGAAGCTCGAATTGTCAGCGAGAACTTCTTTCTTGTCCTTTGTCTCCCGCAAGCAGCGGAAATGGAGGCCAAAAAAGAACCAAAAAATATTTTTAAAAATTATTACTAGCATTCATCAATTGGTAAAACAAGAAAGGCTGAGGAAACATATCATTTTGACTTTTATTAACCTTGCTGATTGCATAGCAAACAGAATATCAAGCGTTCCTGCGCTGGAGTTTTTTTACATCCGCTTAGAAACAAGAATAGATCTGCGTCCGCCATACAGACCGTCTTGGAACATGTTGGATTTCCTGATTTAGCTGTGAAAATTCTAAAAGGAGTAGTTAATCTTGTGTAATATTTGACGCGCGCCGACTGATGTTTCGTTGGCTTAGTTTCTAGGTCTTATATTGGGATGTTTCTTAGTTTGACCACGTTAAGAGTCTCTGGACGGCGTGAAGAGGCTTATTAAGGTCGTGTGGTTTTTTTTTTGACCAAAAATTGTATTGAAAGTTGTTCAAGCTCTAACTGTAAATAACTTTTTTCACATGATGATCTAAATTGGTCGGGCTATCCAAATCTGTTGTTTTGTCAACTACCAAATCAATTTTGAGAATGTATGCATTTTAAAAGCCTGTTCTATTCAAAATTTGGCGTTTTATGTTTGTTGTAATTTTACCACCTCAATTTGTTCAAACTTCATTATTTTCGTTTTATAATAAGGAAAATCACGCTCTACAAAAACACAAGTGCAAATATCGCAAAAAAAGACGTGAATCATTTTTTTTTGCGTTGGATCAATTGGTGAAACAAGAAAGGCTGAGGAAACTTATCATTTTGACTTTGTTAACCTCACTGATTGCATAGCAAACTGAATACCGAGCGTTTCTGCGCTGGAGTTTTTTTTAAATCCGCTGAGAGACACGAATAGATCTGCTTCCGCGAGCAGACCATCTTGGAACTTGTTTGGGTTTCCTAATTTAGCTGTTTAAATTCTAAAAGTAGTAGTTAATCTTGTGTGATGTTTTCGCTTTGACACGCGCAGGTTTGGGTTTTGTTGGCTTAGTTTCTGGGTCTTTTATTGTGATGTTTCTTAGTTTGACCTTGTTAAGAGTCTATGAACGGCATGAAGAGACTTATTGAGGTCGTGTTTTTTTTGCCTTTTTTACTGAAAAAGTTTTGTTCAAACCGTAAATAACTTGTATCACAGGATGACTTAAATTAGACTTAAATAAAAGTTTAAAAGTTGCGTTTATTGAATATCAGCCTTTTCGGCGCAAAAATTTTTCTGATGCTTTTTTGTTCAAAAATTTAGCTCACTTTTTCTCGGTTCAAAAGTAGCCTCTTATAACTGTTTTATCAAGCACCTTCTAACTTCTTGTAATTCTGACCTGAAACATACCTGATCATAGTAATGTTTTTGTCTGACTTTAGAGTTATTCAATTAGGTTTTAGTTGTCCAATTGTCGAATAATTTTAATGCTTGAAATAAGAAGGCATTATCAAATCGGATTGTTGATTTTTTTTCCCGGCGGTAAACAACTTGCGTAACGAAATCAGAATCATGTGATAGCTTGCTTTATAGTCTCCTTTTCAGTTCAGCGTCTGTTTCTGCGCATGTTTCACCCAGATAATGCTTGGGATGACAACATACGGGTTTCAAATTCGACCTGGACGTGAGTGAGCTTTTTGCAAACTGAAAACTTTCTACTTGAAATTTATTTGCTGAACTGTCGTTTGTCTGCCTTATTTTGGAAGCGTTGTTTCCTCAGCACCTTTTACATATTTGAAGCATTTGTTGTTCCGACTTTCGAAGAAAACAGAATATTTATACTCGGCATGTTTTTTTTATTCAGTCATCTTTCGCCGATCGAAATAGTTTTCAAAGAAAAATTTTTATACCCCAATGAAGACATCGACTTCCTGAGTTCAATTTGAAAAGATATTTTTACTCCAATTTTTTTGTAAAGTTCTGGGGGTTTAAAAATTGGCAAATTGGCCATATATTCTGGACTAAATTATGCGGGCTTTGAAGAGTTTATTCATAATGCTGAGAGCGTTACGCAAATTATTTATGCGTGGCGAATTATCCGGCACAATAAAATCGTTCCAAATTCAATTGAGGCTAGCTAATTGGTCGTATTAATTTCGTACGACTCAAAATTTCACCCTTTGATATTGTCCAAAATTTAAAGAATTTCAATATTTTTTCCCAAAAATTATTCGATATGAAATAAGGGACAGTCGGAACATTCACGGCTTTGCCCTGATATACAAGCAGTCTTGTTACTATATATGGAAGTCATTTTGTTATATTCATGCAAGAGTGCAGGTAGTTGAATGCCAAGTAATTTTGCAGTTTTTTGTCAAAATTCATAATTTCGCTTTGATCTACGAATTTAAAACGCTTATTTTAAAGAGTCGATGAAGGTAGTTCAGACTCTTAAATAGGTCGCAATGATTTTTTTCGTTTTTTTTTGTCAAGAAAAGTCTTAAAATTTGTTCAGGCTCAAATTTACTTTTTTTTTGCGGTTTGACTTTTGATCTTTCAGTTCATTTGCTTTGATAAAAGGAAGGCAAGCTCGACTAACGAACAGCGAAAGTTATAAGATTACGAAAAACGTGATCAACATCTAGTTTCGAAACTGGAATTTGATTTTCAGATTTGCCAGCGAAATAAAAATTTTACCTATTGATTTAGTTTCTCCAAATAGGATTAAATTAATCGAAAAATTGTTAATCATCAATTGTTCTTGAGTTTTTGGGCCATCTATTTTTTTTCTTTGAATTTCAAAAATTGAGATTTTTTCAAAAAACAAGTCAGTCATTTTTTTCTGTTTACTTGCGTTCATTGACTCTTTTCCAACTGTCTTTTGGCTATGTTTTTATTTTTAATCAAGTATTTCGAGTACTTTTTGTTGTTCATTCAAATCATACAATTTTTTTCTAAGGCATAATAAAGCGAAAAAGGCTGCCTCATTTGCATTTTGTCTGAAATTATGATTTAAACTGATTTCTCGAACAACGGATTATCCTTTTTTTCATAGCAAGTGGTGCGATTCTCCGTCTCGTGTCTGTGTTTTGTTTATGAATTTAAGACGCACAAGAAATTTTGTAAGCTACAAAATCCGGATTTTTCAGAAGTACCATTTATGGCATTCGGTTTTGATAAAAACAAAAACCCTTCTGCCATGCTCTTTTGTCAATATGTCGCCTCTGTTATGCCTTTGTTCAAAAAGTGTTGTCAACCGAGAGTTTATTTTGCGTTATTAAGGCTTAGGAGTGCTCCGACTTTTAAGAAGTTTTTCACTCTTTGGTATTTCGTGTACGCAATGGGAAGGAAATATGTTTTGGTTGTGTTTTCCGAAGAATACAAAACTAAATTTTGCAAACAAAAATTTTGAAAAACCTTTCCCGTGTGAATATCTTGTGCTTTTCACACTTTTCTTTAGGCGATAATTTATGCACAAACAAAGAAGATAAATTAAATTAGCTTTTGTGTCTCCTTTTGTCTTCTTTCAAAGTTATTCTTCCACTCAATCGCCCGAAGCAAAATTTAATAATATCATATTAAAACCCTTTTAGTCGTGATTCGAACGAAATTTAAAAATTAAAAAGATTCTTTGTCGAGAAAAACCGATTTGAAGTTCTTGATTTTTGGTCTAATTTCGAGCAAATGAGTTGAGCGTGCAGGCTTACAATAGCTTATTTATGCTTAATTTAACTACTGGAGTAAAATTAGTTTTTTAGCTCCATTTTGGGAATAAAACAATGTCTGAAATTTTTTAAATTACTTGTCTACAATGTTTACAATGCTTTTTTTTTGTTCCTTTTCTTCAAAAACTGTCTTCCAATTGCCCTTTTTTACTGTGATTATCGAAGTTGCCGAATTTTTCTTTTTTTTCGTTCAGGTCTTTTTTATCAAACGTTTGTCTTTTTTATCACACAAAAAGACACTATATTGGAAATAAAAATGGTTTGTTTTTAAGACTATGGTCGGAACATTGCACAGTTACCGGCTGTCCTTGTTTCAAATTGTATTTTGTTGCAGTATAAAGTTCTTGACGTTTTTGTTTCTGAAGTACAGCTTCGAAGTTTTTCGACAGTTTTTTAAACCTATAATTATTTTCAACTTGCTCTTATCCTTGTTTGATGCTGTAATTACGCAAGCAAAGCTTGTGTTAAAGTTTGAACTCCTTTTTTCCAACCTAAGTCGCCAATATTGTTGCGACCCAAATTTTGTTGCGACAAATTGTGTTAATTTTGAAAGTGTTCATTTTGATCAATACAACCAGCTATTAAGTACAGCCAATGCTAAGGATATTTATACAGATTATTACTTTTACAAATAGCACTTTAGCTTCAAGGTATCATTGATCTGTAGCGTAGAGGTAGGGAAGGAGACCCGCAACAAAAGAATGGTTCGAACTTGGGCAGGTTTGGATGTTTTTAATGAAATTTTTCGGCTCTATTCCAGTTTATCCCTTTGAAATTCATTTTTGACAAGTTTATTTAACATTGTCATAATCCAATAAAATTTGGCGTGGTGAACAAATCGACAAATGTGAACTCGGTATTTTGAAAGGGGGAAACTGGAAAAGAGCCATATTTTTGTATACTTGTTAAAATGCGTCCGCTCTATAAATTGAGGCATATTACTTGGTAAATTTCTCTTTTTTTTCAAATTGAATAGCAAAAGCGATTGAATTGAGTAAAAAAAGCCAGAAAGAACGGTAATTATAGTTGGAAAACGTTGGAAATATAGCGGTAAAATTCTAGTAGATTTAACGCCGAGATTATATTCAGACCAGTTTTTCTTGACACTGAAATATGGCGAGTTTTTTTAAGTATGATACCACATCTGAATGTGATACCACGCTTACCTTGAGGATGCCAACATAATAAAATTATAGATACTAAAAAACGAATCTTAAATTATAGTTCTTTTCCATTCACACAAAAAGACACTATATTGGAAATAAAAATGGTTTGTTTTTAAGACTATGGTCGGAACATTGCACAGTTACCGGCTGTCCTTGTTTCAAATTGTATTTTGTTGCAGTATAAAGTTCTTGACGTTTTTGTTTCTGAAGTACAGCTTCGAAGTTTTTCGACAGTTTTTTAAACCTATAATTATTTTCAACTTGCTCTTATCCTTGTTTGATGCTGTAATTACGCAAGCAAAGCTTGTGTTAAAGTTTGAACTCCTTTTTTCCAACCTGAGTCGCCAATATTGTTGCGACCCAAATTTTGTTGCGACAAATTGTGTTAATTTTGAAAGTGTTCATTTTGATCAATACAACCAGCTATTAAGTACAGCCAATGCTAAGGATATTTATACAGATTATTACTTTTACAAATAGCACTTTAGCTTCAAGGTATCATTGATCTGTAGCGTAGAGGTAGGGAAGGAGACCCGCAACAAAAGAATGGTTCGAACTTGGGCAGGTTTGGATGTTTTTAATGAAATTTTTCGGCTCTATTCCAGTTTATCCCTTTGAAATTCATTTTTGACAAGTTTATTTAACATTGTCATAATCCAATAAAATTTGGCGTGGTGAACAAATCGACAAATGTGAACTCGGTATTTTGAAAGGGGGAAACTGGAAAAGAGCCATATTTTTGTATACTTGTTAAAATGCGTCCGCTCTATAAATTGAGGCATATTACTTGGTAAATTTCTCTTTTTTTTCAAATTGAATAGTACTGCTAATGCGTCTCAATTGGCTTGCGGCACTTAGAAATTATGTAGACTCATAAATGGCGTGCGTTACTTATGAAATGTTGTAGAGTCAAAGTTTTGCTCATTCAGTTTTTCCCAGTAGAATTATCGGTCATATGCTTGCTTGTGTATGCGTAGTGCAACTTCGCCTCTGTGTAATATTTACGGTTTTTTCAACATTATATTGGGATTTCTCTTCAAATGTTTAGTCAATAAAGATACAAGAGTAGGTGAAATACAGCTATAAGAACAGAAGAGGCATAAGTTCGAACAGATGCAGTTGAGAAATATATTTTTTAGATATCAAATCTAGAAAAGAGGAACTCGACCCTGAATGACCTGCTGGAGTCTATGCGCAATGAAGTGGAAACTCTGGAATCGAAACTGGCGGGATCGGAGATGGAGTTCGAACAGTACAAGGTGGGCATCTCAACATTAAGTCAAACAAAAATAACCGGAATAAATTGATAGAAAATAAATTCCAAAAATCAATTTTTGTTGTCTAAATTTCCGTTAGTTTTCCTAGCAAAAGCGATTGAATTGAGTAAAAAAAGCCAGAAAGAACGGTAATTATAGTTGGAAAACGTTGGAAATATAGCGGTAAAATTCTAGTAGATTTAACGCCGAGATTATATTCAGACCAGTTTTTCTTGACACTGAAATATGGCGAGTTTTTTTAAGTATGATACCACATCTGAATGTGATACCACGCTTACCTTGAGGATGCCAACATAATAAAATTATAGATACTAAAAAACGAATCTTAAATTATAGTTCTTTTCCATTCTTCGAGAGTGGGCGGAGCAATACGAAGCAAAATCCAATTGCCTGATTGCGCGACGTGGTTGTCAACGTGAAAGAAGTGACCAATTTTAATGATGTTTTACATAATTATTAGTCAAATAAGTTTCGAAATAAGGCCGCAAAATCGAAACATGCATTTGAATTCATTTTGTTGTTTTTAATGCGACTTAAAGCTTCAAGTTTCAATTTCCATCAAATTGACTTTTGACCTCTCTTCTCTTTTGCAGGCACGGGTGCACACAGTGTTGAAGCAGCAGAAGGAGAAGACGCACAATGTTGAGTCAGTGAAGTCCCTCACCGCCGAAAGGTATGATTGAAAGCTTCAACACCTCGACTAACTTATTCACCATATACACCGGGCGAAGTTCTTAGGCGTACATGTTGAGCATTTCTATATTAACATGATCGCGTAAAATTTGGGCGGAACAAGTAAGAAAGCAATTATTTAACAATAATTGTTAAAATTGTATCAGATAATTAAAAGCCAGAATACTCACTTTAAGATAGGGCTTGTTAGAAATGATTGTCAGAAATCTAAAAAGGATTGTAAAAAAGTGAGTGTTAGAAAAGATTTTACAAAAAAACGAGGATTACAATAGAGTTTATAAACCTCAATCATAGTTTTTCCATCGAGTTAATTTACGCTATCATACGCTTATTATGATTCAGAAGTGTTGGAACTTTGGTTTTTATGTGGCTGTGGCAATATTCTAGGGATGCGTTGAAGTCTCAGCTGGAGAGTGTGCGGATGAGAGTGGAGGACATGAGCAGGGAGGTGGACATGGGACAGCTGGAGAGGGAGAGACTACAGAAGGATACACACTCTCTGTCCCTGTTGAACACACAGCTCAATCAACAGATGCAACACAGGGACACACTCCACAAACAAAAGTAAGTAGAAGATACAACGACTTTAATTGCAGAGTTCAACGAATTTATTGTTTTTAGAAGATATCTCAGCGATTGTGAGCTTATTGCTAAGCTGAATCCTGCCGAATGATTGAACAGCAGTTTAGAGTATGAAGATGTTCATGGCTCTTCTTCCTTTTCTTTGCCTCACATACTCATCAGTTTTATGGCGTAACGATTGATTCTGCTAAGTTAGTCATGAACCAAATATGAGTTTTAGAATCATCGGAAATCATAAGTCAAATTTTACAAGTAAAAAATATAAGTAACATCATAACAATGCGTTTACTACATTTTTATAACCTATTTTTTGTTGTGATAGTGTGCGGTATTAAGCTTACCAATTTTCTCAAATGCTTGCAATCTTGAATTTTTTGCACGAAATTGATCAATCAGTGTTATAAACAAAATAAAACTAAAATTTTTAAAATTTAGAACTTGAGATTTACTAATTGTAGCACAGACCGTAACAAACCGTGTGATCTCTAAAATATTTTAGGAGGAAAATAAAAACCTCTTTCACCATTTAGTGAGCCAGGAGAAAGCTTCTTTTCTATGGAATTTTATGAAATTTCTATGAATGGCAGGAATGACAAGTTGGATTTGGTTTTTAAATTATTAAAATCAATATGGCAGAAACTGCAATTAAATGACTACTCAGAATTAAATTTCGTTTTCACGCTGATGAGGGATCCATTTTTTTAAAAAAAATGTTATCACTTTTACTTCTTGTCTTATTTAATAAACAACGCCGTTTTCTGTCAACTGCGCAGTATCAAACTCTAAGTACCTCAGCTCAATTACTTAGTTACAGGTTAAGAACTTTTCTATTAGAATTACTGAATCAGTTAATAGCTAGATGTATAATAATTTCAACTTCCGCGTGCTTATTTGCGCAGAAGTAACTTCCATGCTGGATGTCGACAACGATGCTGGGTTGGAATCTTATTGCAAACTTAAAATTTTCCACTAAAAAATTAATTGTCGGCCGATGGTATCTCCTCAATTTTTGTCGGCTTGGTTATCACAAAACGGAATTTTCCTATGATACAAACAAAAATCATTTCATTTGTTCTTAAAATGGTGCAGGTATTTGAGTTCCAAGAAGATTTGCTAATTTTAAAAACTATTTGACAACGATAAATAGATAAATTTTTGCCTCTTTATTTTTTCTTTTTGTTATTTTATGGAAGCCTGTCAAAATCAAATCGTTTGCAAAAGTTTGAGCATAAAATGCTCCTGTTTGGACTGTAAAATGAGATTTTAAGTAGAACAAGGCTGCTCGTTTCAGGGCAAATCCCCGAATAATTGGAATGCCGTTTTAATTCAATGAAAAAAAAAGTTGTCAAAAAATGATGAAATAATCGAAAGACATTTTTTTCCATTTTATTTCACCTCACGCTATGTAAAGTACAAAGATACATATTTTAATAGCACGAAACTTATCATGCGTTAACTACAGTGCTGATTTAAATTAACCGGGCTACGTAAGGGGCTCACTTTGATATATGTATGTCTGTGATAGACTGGGTATTTTCGGCGTAATTTTTGATTAACTAAGAAAAGTCAAAATGACCCATTTTTGGGGTAAAATTTCGGGCCCGAATTTCGCAAAAGAAATTACACCATATTAAATCTGCTAAAATTTTAAGCAAGTTTTGTCTTCATAAGGGTTCACCTAAACAACCCAATTTGAGAAAAATGCGTTTTAAATTTCAAGTTTAGCGCGTTTTTTCCGGTTAATTTAAATCAGCACTGTATTCCAAATTGAAAATTTTTCTGTTTTCTTTGGACTAAGTAACTGTCATTCCCTTCCGTGTCTGCTAGCTTGCAATGCTATTTTTGTGGTATCGCAAGTGATGCCACAAGTCCGCTTCGACTCTGTGTTTAAAAAATCATGTCAAATATGGCTCGTTAAAAAGTCGAAATTGGTCTGGATAAAAGAAACACGACGAGCACAAGTAATCCGTCTCTTTCTTCGAAAATCGGAATAGTGTGCAAAAGAATGTCAGGTTTGTGCCCACTCTTGAAATACTTATCTTTATTTGAAAAATATGAATCATGTCTGATTTTTTATAGTAAATTTCTTAACGCCTGAAACTGGCATATATTTTTGTATCGCAAGTGATGCAAAGCTTTTGAGTGTGTTTGTCATGTTGTGTTGTAGAGTAGAAGAGTTGCGTGTGGAGTGGGAGAAGAGCAAGAGTGGGCTGGAAGTGGTTGAAAGTGGGCTGAAGAGCCAGATCGACAGTCTCACACACTACTACAAGGTAACAAAGGGTTCTCATTCTTGTCCAGAACGCTAATTATACACACCTCCCCACCTCGAGAACAAGAGCTCATGCACATAGTACACGGATACTTACGGGACGTAGCAAATAATTTTATCGCCCAAAATGATGTATATTTTAATTGGTGCGGTTGCAGCAACAATCGTTCATGGCGAGCAGCATCAATTATGATTTTTATCAGGAACATTATTTAGAAATAAATAAATAATGAACTTCTTTAAGGACAAACTGGCCAGTGAAGCAAAGGAGTACAGTGAAAAGATTGAAGAACTGAAGTTGAGGTTGAAGAAGTACGAGGAGTCCAATTCGAGTGACCACTCGGGATCCGGAAGTGCTCTGCGCGCTATGGTCTCAGAAGAGCAACTGAGTGTAGTCACGTCAGGTGCATCACTCACCGCTGTTAATCCAAATGGTTAAGGATTTTACACTTGCGAGCAGTATAGTGTATTAGTACGAACCTTCTTTTTTGCTAACTTAACTCGCATATACAAGTGTTGAGTTCGTGGCTTTTTGCTATTATCACGGTCTGTAGCATTGGAATTTTCATAGCATCTGTTCTCTGCTTTATGTGTGGCTAGTGTAAGTGATTTATTAAGCGTCCGTGGCTGAGTTGTCAGTGTGTGAGACTCGTAATCTCTAGGGCGAAGTTTGTCCGAAGCTTCGCCTCATTATTTAAAATAGAAATTTAAATGATACCAGCTGCTGTTCGATAAGTATCAAATGAAGAAAGGAAATCAGAATTGTTTTATTTTTTTATCGTAATTTTCGAATAAGATTGAAATGTTCGAATAAGGTTAAAATCGCCTTCAGAAGCATTGCTTTGTGAGCAGGTTTTCAAACTGGCTCCTCAGTTTCTGAGCCATACGCTCTGAATGAGTAATTATCATTCCAATGATTAATTAGGTTCCAATCTGCTGATGCGACCGTCGGCCAAACGTGCTCCTCCCATTGGCATGGAGAGATCAGAAGGAGATGGCATAGAGTCAGACTCAAACAGTGACCTCATCCTCCATTACGGCGGTGGAACAAGACTCAACAGCAGAGGAGGAAACTCAACGCCTACCCCAAATAAGGAAACGAATTACGTGCCTTTTGACCAACTGCTATCGTCGCCCCCAATCAGTGCTAGTCACCAATCTACAGTGCCCAATATGTTCTCTGTTTTCCAAAATCAAGACTCGCCCAGGTCGCCTTCAGGTAACACTCTAGTTTTATGTAATTTTAATTTTAAAATCTATGAAAAGCAAACCTTTTATTTCAAGAGTAACTGATTGCTCTGCAATAATTTTCCTGATGAGCAAAAGTTAAAGAACTTTGGAGAATTTTTGGTAGCAATAATATAAAACTCAAAGAGATATTTAGCTGTACCAATTTTCTCCTAATAATTCATAAATTGCGTTCTTTCGGTCACAAAATTCATATTTTTGCTGCAATGACTTAGTGTTTGGATTTGTTTTTTTTCCCAGAATCATCTTCAGTTTCGAGAAGCAGAAAAGTGTCGATGAACGAAAGCTTTGTTATTCCCTCACCTGCCGCATCCGCCGCGGAAGTGCGCAAACAGCAGAAGAAAATAGCACACTTGACAGAACTGCTTGGCGAGAGTGAGTTGAATATCCAGCGTCTCACAGACCAGAGTCAAGTGCTGAAAGATGAGATCAGAAGACTGGAGGGAAACTGGACTGATACTTCGAAGAATATGGAATACCTGAAAAATGTACTCATTAAGGCAAGTTACCCTGGTCCAAAACTTCTAATCAAAATAATTTCATATATGAACAAGGATTGCCGGTTGCTGTGCAAGTAGTACAGGATGTTCTGACCATACTCATAAAAACCTGAAAAGCTTTTTCATTTTTTTCTTTTCAAATTAGTGTCGATTTTTGTGAGTCTTGTAATGAAAGGATCTGACGAAAACATATTTAAATATAGAATTTAAACATATTTGACAGTCACAGCAAAACAGGCGAATCAGGTAACGGTTCTATTCAAAAATTGTCTAGAAAAAAAATTCTAATAGCACAAATGGTCGATTTTCAATGGTCGGAACAAAAACATACTCATTAAGGCAAAACCTCCAATCATGACATTTTCAAATATGAAAAACGTTTCTTCTACAATTTTTTAAAACTTCTTACGTACAAAAATTCCTATGAAACGTCTACGATAAGCACTTTTTCTACATGAATTTGTATGATCATAAACGAAAATTAAAAAAAAAAACGTTTTGTCCAGCTTGGTTTTTGTGTTGTCCGAAAATACAATAACCAAGGTTTGTCATACAAGAAAACTCAGAGATTAAGTGGAAATAATTACTCAGATAAATTGAATCTGCAAATTTGCATTCCGATGTTCGACTCCGGCAAGTAGCAATAATTTTATTCTTTGGTGGTAATTTAGCTGCATAGAATTGGCTATGTGTTAGCTGCTTTATTGCTGGTTAGTGTCAGTAGATTTACAAGCTACGGTGGCGCAGATTATGTGTAAAAGTGATAACATTTATTCAGAGTTAAGAACGTAGTGAGTGCTCTTATATAGGTTTTGCTGATTTTTTTTTCGGAAAAAGTCTTGAAGTTTGTTCACGCTCAGTTTTGATTTTTTCGCGGTTTGACTTGTGGTTTCTTTTTAAGTTCAGTGCATTTCCATAAAACGAAGGCAAACTCCACTATCGAGCAGCAAAAGTGTAAAGGTCACGAAAGGCGTGATCGACTTCTAATTTCGAAAATGGAAATTAGTTATCAGATTTCCCAGCGAAATAAAATTTTTTCTTATTGATCCAGTTTTCTCACATTGGGTCACTTCTTACAAAAAGTGTCCATCATAAATTGTTCTTCAAATTATGAGGTCGATAGTTCATTAAAACTAACATACTGCTTAGATTTTCCTGCCTAATCTGTTTTAACCTGTTTTTTGTAGAAAAGCTGATATGGACTTCGGAAAAGTTCCTTTTTAATCTTATAATCTTATACATTTTCTATAGAAATTTCGTCACTATTCTCGAAACCTACTTACTAAATCTGATATTAAGAGTTCAATCTAAAAATTCAGGGTGCAAAAATTTTCTATCTAATGGAAAGCAGAGCCCATTCTCATGCTTTACTAGAGAAAAGTTTACGGATTTTAATAAAAGTCAATTTTTTTATCGACGAAAAATACCCAGCCAAATCTGAGATAAAGACTTCAATTGGTAGAGCATGTGGTATTTTTCTTCTTTAATTGAGCTGTGAATCCTCTACTGAAGGAGTGAAACACTGGGGTTAAGCGTAATGTCAATTCTTTTGAAATTCTGAAAATTGCGCATATCCGTATCAGCACAATACATGATTAAAAATATAAGAAGAGGTAGATCCGGCATTAGCTGGGCCACTAGTTGCGAGGACAGATGCGAGGACAGGAGTCTCCTAATCAACAGGTCGGATTATCAAGTAACATTTTAGTAGTTTTTTGGTCGAATTTTTGTTGCATAACATTGGCAATGTGATAGAAACTGTAGCTGCTTTATTGGTGGCTAGTGTTAGTAAAATTACCAGCGGCTGTAGTGCAGATGTGAGAGCATGATATTCCTAATCTCAACAAAAGTTTTTTCAAGGTGTTCTCTTTGCTTGAGCGCAGCTTCGCCTCTGTGTAAAATATTAACTTCGAAGCTATGAATTTGTAGGGATAAGCATTGTTTTGTTGGGAGTTTTTTTATTGTCTATAACATATTTGTTAGTGCAGATGCGGCTTAATAAAAAATATTACTCCAAGACGAAACAAATGTTAGTCGAGAAAAAATTCATTTTCCGCGATAGAAAACAACCCGAACATTCATCCCTCTGCTGGATAAATATTTGATTTGAATGTAGCTGCAATGAAGACAAGAATTGATTGGCAACAAAAATTTTAGTGTTTCTTGTTTTTTGTTAGCTTGGAGTTCAATCCTAAAACGTTTGTCGGCAACTTTGCTGCATACCAGATGCGTATTAGAAAATTGACCTTGAGCTGGGTTTGCGGATCTATAGAAATATTGAACTACCACTAGCGACAAAAGGGAAATGAAGGCCTATAGCCATTGGTATTCATTGCTTCGACTAGGTGTAGAGGATGCGAGTTTTCATTTAATGCTGTGTGCGTTCGTATTTCAGTTCTGGAAGCTACCAGGATGCACAGAGAAAGAACAGCTGGTCCCTGTGCTGACGATGTTGCTGAAGCTGAACTCTGAGGAAAAGTCGCTGGTGCAAGAGCTATCCTTAGGTCAGTTTCTCAATTGCTCAAAATTATTCATACAAGAAAAATATGCAAGTGTAATTTGTGTAATCCTTACTCTGAAACATTTAAATATGGAGCATTTTGACCCAAATGTGCGACAGAAACCCAAGTGCTTCAAACTAATATTTCGTTTTTCGGCTATAAGTGGACGTTTTTCAGGTGAAGGGGGTGCTAGTAACATGCCTGGAAATATTCCCGCGGCTTCAACCTGGTCCAGCTATATGCCAAGGTGGTCTGGTCTGATGTGAAGAAATAAAACGAAAAGTCAGAAAGTTATACCGAAAAAGAAAAACTACTTAGGTATTTAGCTTTGTGCGAAGGACTCATTTATCCATTTCTTTAATTGTGACTCGGGAATTTTGATTATCCTTGTACTGTGTTTCAATTATTAGTAGCCATTTTAACATATCTCACCAATATGGTAATAAAATTGAATTGTAATTTAAATGCTTCTGTGCGCAAGTTCAATCAGTTTCCAGGTGACAGGGCGGAGTTTCTTGATCTTAGTCAGTCTGCTTTCAAACCACTTTTCTGTTTGATTACACTTGCGAGCATTAGTGTATCAGTACGAACCTTCTTTTTTCTAACTTAACTCGAAAATAAAAAATCATTAAAACTGCTCACTTATTTGGTGGCTCTTTTGCTATAATCACGATCAGTAGTTCTCTGCTTTTTTGTTGCTCGTGTTCGTGACTTTTTCAGCGTTCGTGGCTGAGTGGTTAGTGCATGAGACTCATAATTTCTAGGTTGCAGATCGCATCCAAGACGTAGCCAAATTTTTACATATTCGAGGCATACTTCTACTTTTTCTAATTGCACTTAATAGAGCTGCTTTTTGTCGTGTTCTCAACAGTGCTGGCAAATCGCAGCTTTGTCTCTGTGTAAATGCCTGTATTATGAAAATGTATGGGATATGAGATTTTTTTGAGACGTTATTTTTTAGAGACGTGTTAGACTAAGAGAAATTTGGTTAAGACTTTTCTCGTAAATCAGCATGATAATTTGAATACAAGTTCATTCGAAATAACAAAATTTTCTAAGCTCTAGTTGCAAAATGGCTAAGGTTTCTTTTAAGATTTTTCTAAATTCAATTTATTCCATTGTTAGAAAATTGGCAAATTCCACTTTCGAACAGCAAAAGTGTAAAAGTCACGAAAAACGTGATCAACTTCTATTTCCTAAAATGGCAGAATTACCAGCGAAACAAAAATCACCTATCGATTCAGTTTTTTCTTTGGGTTTATTTTTTCAATAAAGTGTTGATCGAAAACTGTTTCAATAAAGTGTTAATCGAAAACTGAAATTCAATGAGCTATAAGGGAAACTATTTAGTTTCAGCACAACTCGAAAAGTATGTTTTTTGTTTACATGCGTTCGTTGACTTTTTTCGAACTTTGTTAGTTAGGATTCATTTTATTAAATTTCACTGACAATCAAACAAAGTCTTGTTGAGGAAAAAATATCGGAGAAAAACTCATAATTAGCTCAATCCTAAATTCCAGGAGTAACTCCTAACAAAATTATTTGATCTATTTTTTTTTGTTTGAGCACTTAATCTCAGATTTGGTAGGGTTCAAAACAAGGTTGGAAACCAAATCTTACACTCATAATTAAGTCACTTCTAAATTACATGGTAACTCTCTGGAAACGTACTTGAATCCATTTTCTTTTGTTTGAGCACCCAATCTCAGAATTGGTAGCGCTTAGAAAATATTCAAGAAAAATTAAAACTTAAAGAATTTTGTTTTCCATAGCGTTTTCTGTAGTACAAAAATGAGTAGCCGCTTATACATGGAAAACGGATTATCGGCTACTCATCAATTTCAAAAGAGAAACCACTGTGGACTTAAATCTTTGAAACGTTTACCTTCGCTTAGAAATTTGTTAAGAAGAATGAAGGTAGTGAAAACTTGCTGATTTTTTTTCAGCAAAAGTCTAAATTTGTTCACGCTCAATTTTGAGTTCTCGCGGTTTGACTTGTGATTTCGTTTTAAATTCATGCATTTTCATAAAAGGAAGGCAAACTCCATTATCGAACAGCAAAAGCGTAAAGGTCACGAAAAACGTGATCGACTTCTAATTTTGAAAATGGAAAATAATTATCAAACTTCCAAGCGGAAAATGGTCAATCACAAATTGTTTTACAAATTCAGAGAGCTGTAAGAGCATCTAATTGTTTATTCGAAATTCAAGAATCGAAGATTTTTGAGAAAATAAGTAGGTTTTTTTTAGTTTTCTTGCGTTCATTACTCTTTTCCAACTGTCAGTTGGCTATGTTTTCGATTTTCAAGTTTGAATCTAGTGTTTGTTCCACGTAGTTAAAAATTAGCAAAAAAAACATAAGTATTTTGTCAGAGTTCCCCAGGGGTTGCGAATTTGGTCTCCAATTACGAATGCTCAAATCTTTTTAGTGTACGAGATACGACAATTTTTGTGATTTTTTCATTGTGTTCGGAAAACTTAATTACAAAAATTTTAATTTCTGAACCCCGTATTTGTGTGCTGTCAAGAGTACTTTTAGGAATTGCGAATCTAGCCTCCAAATATGACTTATCAAATTCTTGTAGTTTTCGAGATATGACGTGTTTTATGATTTCTTTTTAGTTAAAAAAAATCAAATGATTTGAAATTCCTAATTTTGTAGTTGGGTACTGTAAGGGTACTCTCAGGAATTTTAATATCCAAATGCTTGTGTCCAAATGCGACTGCTCAAATGCTGTTTTTTTCGAGGTATGACGTTTTTTATGATTTTCAAAAAACTGTCAGAAAACTTAATGAACGTTTTTGAAAATTAAGCATTTATTTTGCATGACTGGTTTTAAATTATATTATCTCGACCCCTAGTCACTTAATAAGTTTTGGTTTCATTCTTTGTTGTGCACGTAAAAAAATTTACTTAGGTGCCTATTAGTAAAAAGGTTACTTAGGTGCCTATTAGTAAAAAGGTTACTGCCTATTAGTCTGAGTACCGATATGTGATTGATTGATATCTGATATACGGAGGAGTTTTAGAAATATATTTTCTTAATTTGAACTAAGATTTTCATTGAAATTCTAATGCCAAATATCTCTTGAAACATTCGGATTTTTTCTACATTTATTTCACAAGCTTGTTATTATGATTCTTCTCAAACAAACAAGGGAAAGAATTATGCGTTTTGTTCATGTCAACTCAGATATCTTGACGCAAATTCTAGTTGATCGAATATGGTAGCAGTTTGAATTAGGTGATTCTGAATCCACTAAATGTTATCAAAATTATAAATATTCCTATAGCGATCGTAGTGTTACATTACAGTACGAAATGACTTTTTTCTACTCTCTAAAAAAGGTTTTTTTTTTCTACTCTCTAGGTTGTGGGTTTGATTCTACCACACTGTAGAGTTTTTTTTCGGAGTTAATTTTTACCAAATTTTTTCTTTTTTTGACAGTGTAGTGCTTTTCGTGCCATTTTCTAACATGCCGGTGTTAGCAAAATGCAGCTTCTCTTCTTTGTTCGATTATCGAGCGGAATTAATTATAATTATTGTTTCATTTTTTTCTAAGAATTCTTGAAAGTTTAGGAATTTTCATCTCAAATAATTCTTAAAGTCTGAAAGCTCTATTGTGGTATAATGTGTCGTCAAAACTCGAAAATTCAAAAAATGTTCAAAAACTCTCAATCTGTTAACTTTTTTCCTTGTTTTTTTACCTTTCTCTAATTGTCTTTTGGCTATTTTGCTTTTTTGTCAAACCATATTTGTGCATAATAAGGCTTTTTTTTTACTTTAAGAAAAGCGTTGACCATGAAAAAATTTGGAAAGAAAACATCAAAAGCAGGGATTTTGGGCGTCTGAAATATCTTTCTTATGAGCCGTCAAATACTTTTCATTTAGTTTTTTTGTTTTTATCTGCTCTGATTTTTTTTGCCGTTTTTATGATGAAGTTTGTGAGTATGGTGGGTTAGATTTGTCTCTGCTTTACAATTTCAGACAATAACGAGAGTAGTAGATTTTGGAGCTGATCAGGGGAGGGGTTGTGTAGGGTGACCAGCATGTTTCAAGATAGGGACTAGAGCAGCCGGTCACCCAGCTATGTATTAACATTGAGTATGGAGTGTACAATGTATTAGGATAGGGAATAGGATTGGTAAGGTTTCATTGTTTGTGTGATGGTAAGAGAATGGTAAGAAAAATGTTTTTTTTTTTGGATTTGTGTATGATTTTTTTCGAAAAAACTTAAAAACACGATAAAAATTGGTATACTTCGATACAATTAAAAATTTCACTAGATGATCTTACTCTTTAAAACAGTGCTCTGTTTGGTTGAAACTATAGTTAAACCTACTGAAACTTCGAAAAAAATTAATTTTTTGAGAAAAAAAAAATCACAAAGCAAGTATAAAAATTTTAAAAAAAACTACACATTCACATAAAATTAGCTATAAATTTCAAAACACGCACATCATGAATATTAATCAAGTTTCTCTACTAGAATTTAAAAAGAAGAAATGCTGAATATTTTGCATAAAACCCACACAAGTTATCAGTTTTTTGTAGTTTTCTGGAAACATTTTCGCCAATACTTTTTTGCTAGAAAGGAATAAGGTGTTCTTTTTCGACCCAGAGAATCAGCAAAGTAGTAAATTTTGTCCAGTCGAGCAATCATGATCCAGTGTTCTCCTCTATCATTGCTTGGAGCTGAGTTGATAATTGCAAAAGAGTATTTTGTTTGTTGAGGTACTTTATCAGGGGGTTAATATCCCATGTACTTGAAGCCGAGCTCAGGAATTTTTTCAATAATTTGCAAAAGTGAAAATTTATCCATCTTTGCAATTGTTATCTGATATACATCTAAAAAGAAAGAAATAGATAGTTTGATAGTGTATTTCAGCATAAAAAAAACTAAAATTAATGACTTACATGCATTTGGGTATTGAATCAACAAAGTCCCATACGCAAGTCTCATGATTTGGACAAAGGTTACTGAACACTGTTTTACAGTCTAGGTTGAAAAAAACTCTCATGTTTCCAAATTAACATCATTTATTGTTTACTTTTTCTGAAAATTTAGTTCTGAAGAGAGACAAAAAAGATAGTACAGAGACAATAACAAAGAAAAATCCCAAAAAATCCCAAAAAAAATACTTCGAACTTGGTATTTGGTAACAACCATTTTCACAAATAAACAAATCAATGGCGAGCCTCCCATAGAGTGAAAACGTTTTCCCTGTTCCTAAGGAAATTGTTATATCAGTGAACGGATGCATACCAAATGCATCAGGTATTTATTCCAAACTGTATCCATTACAAGCAAGTATTCCTTTACTACTCACTGCTGACTTGTTGAATTCGTTCGATGTTGTTGACTTATGAGGATATAATCAATTCGCGTTGTAAGCCATTGTATTGTAAAATAAACTTCTAATTGGAGAAAAGTGAATGTAGTCGATTG